GAGATTTCCGATGTTCGAGAACGATTTCGGGTGGGGCCGACCGTTGGCCGTGAGGAGCGGCCGGGCCAACAAGTTCGACGGGAAAATATCGGCGTTTCCGAGCAGAGAGGGCGGCGGTAGTATTGATTTGGAAGTGGTTTTGGCGCCGGAAACTATGGCCGGGATTGAATCCGACTGGGAATTCATGCAATACGTGTCGTCCAACAACTAATCAAGCGGGTGATGATGATTGATAAATATATATATGTATCTGAGGGATGGGAAATTAGGGAAATAGGGAAGTGGAAAGAAATATCAAATATGGAGTGATTTCTGTGAAATATTTTTCTTTTTTATGAAGAAATTTATGTGATTTCCCTCTCCATGGAGACAGAGACGTGGTGGTTTGTTCAGTTTCCAGTTTGCGGAAATAAATTGTAGCCTTTTTTTTTGTTTGGTTTTCATGAAACGCACAATTTTCCGCGATCAGGTCGTGAATTGATGGAAACTTTTGCTGCGGGTTCCTTCCTCGTCAAACCCAATCTGCAGGTCTGAATGCCGATGAATTTTTTTAACGAAACTTTTAATTTCTTATAAGTATAGTTGTTCTTCTAACTTTTAAAAAGTTTGTAATACATTTTTAAACAAATTTTTAATTTTACACTTGTGCATCATCAGATGCCTCAATATGTGATCTAGAGAAGTGTATCTACTAGAAACCTTTTAAATACAATATTAAATAAAACTTGAAACTGTAATCTTAAAAATTTATCATTTCTGGATCATTTTATTTGTTCGAAGAAGTTTTGGTGAATTGAGAAAGAATGAGTTTAAACTTTATGATGTCATGTTCAGGATGTTACAAAAACCTTTTTAAATAGTTTATAAACCAACCATCATTAGCATTTGGTTGAGAAAGGAATTATTACTATTATTTTTTAATTGTGAGGAAGATAAAGATTACTCACGAAGCAAATATTTTCTTATTACTTCTCCAGAGAACACAAATGAAACCTTTTGGAAGAATAGTGTGAATTTTCAAAAAGATCGGAAAAGACCAAGGAGTTTCAAAATTATTAGGGAAAGGTTTTTTTATTTATTTATTTTATTCGTCCCTTGTTTGTTTTAAAAAAAATATCATAAATTTTGATCTTTTTTTCGTTAAAAACCGACATAAGTGTAAGTTTCCTTAGTATTTTTTTATTACATTTGAGTTTGATTTGAATTATGCTATTTTCTAAGAAACAATCAAATTTTTTACTCTATTTGAAAATATACATATTTATTTAATTTATGTTAATTATATAAATACATCGAAGAATAACGATAATTTGTAATCTATTTCTAAGCAATACTTATTTAATTTGAATTTTGTATTAGATAGTTGAAATGTTATCCTAGGAGGGCATCAAAGAATGCAGAGATTTATTCCACCTACTATATGTATCTATCAATTGCTGCTCACATGCATGCTTAACCCATAGGGATGAGATAGCCCTAAAAAGATAATTAAATATGCTAGTTTTTTTTTTCTGAAATTTGACACAATAATGTAGCCAAAGTTCATTGTATGTGAGCAATTTCAGTAATATAGCAACTTACTCATATACCAATATCAATAAATTATTGTGTCAAATTTGAGCAAAAAAATTGGCATATTATCTTTTTAGGGCTATCTCATTTGTATAGGTTAAGCATGATTTGTCAGCAGCAATTGATAATGACTACCATTAATATAGTAGGTGAAATTAGTCTCTATTCTATAAGGTCTAAAGCTCATTCTTTGATGCCCTAGTCTTATCAATTATTCACCAAATATATGTGGATGTGAGCAAAATTGGTTTAATAATTTTTTATATATTATAAAAAATGGACAGCATTCTCGGCTATCTAATACAATTTTTAAATTAAAAATATATGTATATATATTACCTAAACATATATGTATTTTTAAATATAGTAACCTAAGAAAATCACATTTATGCTCTTTTTTAAAAACAAAATTATAATATTTTTAATACACATCAATTTTATGTCATGGAATTAAAATTTTTTTATTCTATTATAGTTAAAGTCACACATGCGGATATAATTCTAATCTTATCTTCAAAAAGAATATAAATATATATATATATATATCTCGAAGAAGTGACTTCGCTAGAATATCGATGACTTGATGATCACCGCACATAAATGAAAATATTAAATAGTGATTAATATATAGCCCCATATTATGAAAATGAGCAATGAAAGAATAAATTCTAAATACTTTTTTATGGTGACATTAAAATTTAGTTGAGGATTATCTTACTATACAATATACATTTGGACTACTATTTAAAAGAATATGATGATCATTGTTGTCTGTCCAATTACCGGATTTAGAAGGAGAAGAAGGAAAAAGAAGCACGTTAATTAAGGATCAAGTGAGAATAATCTCTTCAAAAAGTGTTATTAATTCCATCATTTACATTTCTTGCAAAGATGAAAGTTGACATGATGGTAAACACATTTTTATTTTATAGTTGTGGCGATCAATAACGAGCACAAATTTACATATATATTCCAAAATAAATCAGTTAAAAAAGTGGCGGATATTCCAATTTACGATCTAATTATTCTCTGAAGTGCTATGCTAAACTAATGTTTCGTCCACGAGTATTTATTTGAATGTTTTAGTGGTGGATTGTTAAAATTTGTATTATATTTATGAATATAGTAAGAATTTTTTAGTTTGGAAATATGGTAAAATATTTTAAATACGATTTTTTTTTTATTTTTCTTTTATTCTGACTTTACCTTTTTAGATTTTCAAGTGCATATATAAAATATATCATTATTCTACTTGTGTTAGTATACGAGACTTTTGCTTTCTTTTGTATGAATTGAGCTGTAAATTTGACTTTTAATAGATTTGGATTGATTGAGGTTTATTTGATTGGTGATCTTTGGATACATATTTGGTGGTAGATTTAAAAATATTGAGTCCCAATTTAAAAATTTATTCAGAATAATTAGTAAAATATTTATAAATTAGTGGTACCAACTAAATATTTAGTTCAATGTAAAATAATATTAAATAATTTATTAGCGTATATATTATGAATTATATAAAATTATTATTTGACAATGTTATAATTTATAATATATTATATTTCACAAAATATTAACTAATTTATTAACATATATGGTAAATTTTGTAGAATTATTATTTGACGTATTATATTATTTATAATATTTTATATTTTTTAATTCTGACAAAAAAAATTATAATATGAAATATTGTATTTATAAAAAAAATTTATATATTTTTTAATGTAATTATGCGTTCTAAAGATTCAAATTATATCAAAAACATGGTTGTTTTTAGAATTTTCACTATTTGGATCTTATTAAAAATAAATATGTGATACAAATATTCACTAAATAATTTAATTAAGAAACAGAATACAGATTATATATAAAACAGATCTAAAAGTCTTAATGGTCTATTTATCTTTTCTAAAAGCGGCACCTCATATGACTGTTATATAATTTCGACAACATAATGGCATATTTTTATTTCATCTGACATTATAAAACAGTCTTTTTTTTTTTAATTGTAAAAATTTTATTATAATTATAATTTATCAAATGAAACTACGGATCAACACGTTCTTTTGTAATTCTAGAATTTCTTTAACAGATGGCCTTGTATAAAACTTCGCTACATTCAAGTCCATTAAAGTCCAGCCACGAATTAAATTTACTTTTCTAAAAAACTATTTCAAAAATTCAAAATTTAGAATTTCTGTAATTTTGTAATCATCGTTTTCATGCCGCTGGCAATTGGGTTCGCGGCCCATCTAAAACTGCCCGAAGCCCATAACAGATTCTCTCGGAGCCCATTTTGAGTTGGGTATCGGTTCGGGTTCGGGTATCTTGGTGATGTGATGTGGTGAAGCTTCGAAACGACGTCGTCTGCCTGCGATTCCTGCTCAACTTTGTCGTCTTTCCATCGATTTCTTCTCTGATCAACGTCGTTAGGGTTTCGGATCCGGTGGATCTCCTCGTAATCAGTGACGGCCTAGTTCTTGATGATGGAGGGAAGTCAATCCGGTTCAGACTGTGGCTGTTCGAATCGATATTTCATCTTTCTCATAACCCAGCCACAGGTAATTTGATTCTGTCTTCTTTTCACCATTTTATTATCTTCTTAGTTGCTTGCCTTATTTGATTGCTGAGAATGTGGTGAGTGAGAGAGAGAATCTGTTTTTCATAATTTTCTGAAATTATTAGGAACATGAACAAATTGCAATTCACAAGAAACAGCGATTTCATTCGACCTAGACCGATGAATTGTGTTAGTTGAGGTTAATGAAACTAGAAAACGGCCTAGAAATAGGTTTCTCGAACAAAATTTCAGAGAATAAGACTCCCCGTCAACAATTCTGCCCGTTTTTAGTTGTAATGGCTCATGTCTCGAATTTATGCGATGCTTAGAGTTGTAAGCTTTAAATTTCAGGTTCCATGACAGATATAAACAGTTGAGGCCTTAAATTGTCTACTTTTCGGCAAAAGTTTGACTGGTATGAAGACGCTATAGTTAATCAAGCAGATTGATTTGGAAGATGAAGTCTGAACTCTTTTTTACTCTGCATTTTAAGATGCATACTGTGGAAATCAATATGAAGGCCTGCCAATAAAAGATGGTTGCACTGTACTGAACAGAAGATGAAGAAGAGTTTCATTGTAAAGAACCCAATTGCCTTTGGTTTTATGATTCTCTCTGTTTGTTGCATACTTATTGTACTCATCTCAACGCTAAGGCTTCCAGAGCTAACTGTAGGAGTTAATGCTGTTACCAGAAAGGTTCCGAAAGATGATAAGTTGGGCAAATTTGGGGAGATGATGATCAAAATGTTGCCTAAGGATCTTGCTTTTACTGTCTTTGTCCCTTCAGAGAAGGCTTTCGAGCGCGAATTGAGTTTACAAGTAAATGAAAGCTTCACAACAGAGAAGACAGATGATACATATGCAGTAATTTCACGTGTATTGGGTTTCTCTGCCGTTCCTCGAGCTATTTATTCGAGTTTGGTAGATTATGGGAAGGAAATTTCATATGATGCTGTATCTGGATTTACGTTGTACATTTCCAAGGACAGAGATGGGATGTTGATTGTTAACAGAGTGAGGTCAGAAATGGTGGATATAAAGAAGAAGGATATTGTTGTTCATATAATGGATGGTGTTATAATGGATGCTGAGTTTGAGCAGTCGGTAAAACCTGATGACAGTGAAGATTAAACCTCTGAAAAGCAGCTCTTAATTGCATCTTTTAATCACACATTTTCCTATCAGTTGAGTTTGTAATGACTGAAGATTAAGTTATTTGGCCAAACATTTCTCTTGAAAGAGCAAAATAGATTCTTTTCCTTTCAAATCCCTTTTGTCATATGTCACTAACCATAAATATTTAATTGAATCTTGATGTTTTTTTAGTACAACAAATACTAGGTATGGAGATTTCAATCTCCAACCTCAAAAGRGAACCATGTGTTTGTTTGTATTTTGTTTTTGAGATTTTCCATGTGCTAAATATAGTTATAAAAAAAAAGTTAATCCATCTGTTTTGCTTAGAACTATGATTTTAGTTTCAATATATTTGATTACTTCTTAATTCTAATTTAGTCCATAAATTACAATCAGATTTGAGATTTCAGGTCAAAATTAGATATGATTTTGTTTAAAAACTGACATAAAAAGAATAGAGGAATAAATGTGAGAAGTGGGAAATGGGAAGCAAAACCAAGGAATGACATTATATTTTGGAGAGGTTATGAATTCCGAAACATTGAACATTTGAATTTGAATCCACACATTGGTTTATCTTTCTCGTGATTAAAATTAAGACCATTTAATTTGAATTCCCAATTTCCAACATTCACTAATTAACAATAAATCCAACACCATTCTCATTCAACTTCTACGTGTTTGTTTTTTCAGCATGGACTTCACTTTGTTCTACAGAAAGCTTAAACGAAGATCCAATAATGGAGGATCATCCATTTTTGTCTCTATTTTGTAGGTGAAAGCTGCTGTATCCTCCTCATACTGCTTCCCATTTACTTTAATAAACTCATCATCTGCTTCTGCTTCTGCTTCTGCTTCTACTTCTGCTTCTGCTTCTACTTCTGCTTCATCAACTGAGTTTACTGGGAAAAGTTGAAGCGTTTTCCTCATTCTTTCTGGCTCCATCTCCACAAAATGATCTGCTGAAACCCCAAAACCAAAAAAACACAACCATGAATCTAAAACATAATCACAATCATCATAATTAATAATCTCTTGAAATGACTTGAAAACATACTGTTTGGAGGGGAAATGAAATGTTGGTGAGTAGTGTCAATRTATTTGATAGGAATAGGATGATGATTATGATTATGATTATGATGATCATGAGAAATGAGTTTGCGACGCTTGTGTCTCTCTCTGGCTTTATGATTTTGGAACCAATAGAACACATTCTTGCTCTCGATGTTGCCGTAAAAGCTGAGCTGATGAGAGATCTTCTGAATCTGATCACTGCTCGGAGTTCTAAGCCCTGACCTGAACAGCTCTGTCAGCACTTTTACCTGTTCTCCCGTCGGATTCCACCTCCCACATTTTGTACTCCCACTCCCCTTCCCCCCGCCGTAACCACCGCCACCGTCCCCGCCACCGACCCCGACCCCGACTTTTACATCCATATTCTGGAACTGAAACTTCTGCACTCGGAAACAAACAAAGCTTATACCCAAGTCAGAAAAGTACTGCATGCTCCGTGCGTCTCATTTATATATATACACATAACAATACAACTGGGTTTTCTATTAAAGTATGAGTTTAGTTAGAATTTTTAATAAATTTCTCAACTTTATAAGTGTTTTCCAATTATCTTCCTTTAATGCTTTCTTTCCTTAATTGTTAACTATATTATTTAGTCATTACGTCTTAGATCAGTTTGTCATGTTAGGTAAATATTAAATGAACTAAATAATTATATATCTTTTAGATACAAAATTAAGTTAAGTTCAAGTATATATACGAGATTAAAAGATCATGGACTTATATCGTAGGACAAAGTTTAGCTATTTTGCAACGGACTATAATTACTATTAAGTTTTTGATGGATGGAAGAGGGGAAATTCGACAAAGAAAATATCAGATTTTTTTTTCCTTTTTTATAAAGATAAGGATTTGTTAAAATTTTACTCGTTTCTCTGCTACCCTTATGTTATATTTCAGAAAAAGATTATTAAAGGAGAACCCATTTTGAGTTTATGATGCTTCTTTTCTTCAGCCATACATGTACATACAGTGTCGAGAAAGCAGAAAAAGGACTCCTTTTTTATTGAAGTCTAAGACGCTTTTTTCTTTTTTTCTTTTTTCTTTTCATGGAAATAACTTTAACGTATAATAATAATAATATTTTGTTTGTTTCTTGGAATACCCTTTTGTTTATCAGTAAGCTGCTTTGATTTTAGGGAAACAAAAGAGATTGGATTGAACACCGATTTGATGAGATTTTTTTTTTCTTTTTTAATGGTTTTTTTTTTGCCTGGTTTTTTGTGCAGAGAGAGATGGAAATAAGGAATATGGAGGGACATGCGCAAAAGCTGCCACTGGTGAAAATTTTCGGTCGTCGAGCAGACAAAGATGCAAGTTTCATTGATTCTCATTAAACAAAACAAAAAAATATAAAACAATTGTGATTTTTGAGTCTCATGGATCAAAGTTTTCTCTCACGTATTTGAATGCATTTTTTTAATGGGTTTGCTGTTTTTCAGTAAAGCATGCACTTACTCGTGTCCAAAAAGAATTCGACAAAACAGAATTTACGTTATCTCAAATGGATCACTATTGAAATCTTAGTATGGTTCAACTAATCAAATCAAGAACAAACCTTTCTTCATATTTTGACGAAGATTTGAACCTCAAACCAAGCAAATAGTTTGAAAAAGAAAGTAAATGTGTAGTAGTACAAAATGAATTGAGAGGCAAAATGTGTGATGAGAAGTCAAAGTTGGGGGATTGTCTGAATATGTTGTTGGAGGGTTGTGATTAAAGGAGACTGACAGAGATACTGAGTTGACCAAAAGTTGAAGGTTTGGCCAAAAAGGAAGAAATTTCGGTGTGGGATTTTAAAATGAGAGAGAGAGAGAGAGAGAGAGAGAGAGAGAGAGTGGGAACAGAAGCATAGAGACAACAAAAGGCCACCAATATTGAGAGTTTAGAGAGAGAGAAAGATTAGTGAGGAGCAGCCAAAAGTGGAAGCATATGTTGGATTTTACTTTGTCCTAAAGCCTCTTGTCTCAAAGGACACTTTGTTCTACAAAGTTCAAATTTAAATCAACATACTTTGTCTTGGAGGTCTTGTCATCTCATAATTTTTTATCAAAATTTTAAAATTTGAACCGCTTCTTTCTAATAAACTTAGCTTGCTTTCACACGGTTTGTTGTGTTGTGTCAATTCGTAGTTTATCTGAACTAAACGGCACTGTGATCAGCACAAGACTCGAACACAAGATCTCATGATAGGTGGTACCACAAGAATCCAAAACCTTGCCACYGCGCCATCCCAAAAGCTACAGAAACCTAAATTTTGAATCAAACACACATGCCAAAGAGTTGTTAGGGGCAATGTACTTTCTAAAAGTTGAACTTTGAACTAATTTTTTTCTTTTTTGTATGTTTTGATTTTGGTTTCTGAAAGTAAGATATTGAAATCAATATAATTGTACTTGAAAGAATCATTAATAATTGTAAATGAATAGTCACAAACTCAGATTACAATAAACATACATCAAAGCAACAAAATGTTTAGAAGCTGTGTGTTTTTGTTTTAAAATATATATATATGAAACAAACAGTGATTTTGAAGTACATGAATTCTTTTTATTTTTTTAAAGATGTATAGATAAGAAATTAGGAGAAGATAAAAAACACAGTCTTCCAGAAATTGTAAGGAAAGAGTTGAAAGCAGAGAGGATTGGATTAATGTTTTTGAAAGCTACAAAAAGAATGAACAGACACAGACTGCATTCCAAAAACACACTCATCGCTTTAAGTGCCATTAAATGGTCCTATCTTCTTGTCTACACTACACCATACAAAACCCAAAAAACAAACAAATCGTATAAAATTATAAAAAAAATAAAATAAAAATATCATTTTTCCTARTTTTTCTTTCACGTGTTTGAAAAGGTAAGGACCTAACAATGGTTTATACTATAAGTGRGTTGATCCTCTCATTATCAATTGATATTGAGATGAAATCCACGAATCTTGATACCCATCATTGAGGTTAATACATTGAAATTCTCGCGCTCATAGAAGAAGAAAAACCATCTTAAGGGTGAGGTTGAGGAGTGATTCATAAAATTAATGGCAATTTGAACATAACTCTAAGGGAAAGGGTAAGATACTGATGTTTCTTATCACCAAGGTTAAAGTTTTTTAATTAAAAGAATTAATATTTAGAAGCACTTTGTTTGCGTTTTTGTCTGATGGGTATTAAAAAAATAGTAATTATTTAGGGGAAGTGAGGTTAGATATCCGACAGTGAAATAGTTAAAGAGTAAATTATGTTAATCAGTGAGATTCGAGAAGCCTTAAGCTGGAAATTAGGCACGCCTCAATACTTAGCCCCACTCCCTACTACTCTATCTTCTCTTTTTTTTTTTTTTTACGGATTTGAAATTTTCCTAGTGTTCTTAAAAAGAAATTTTCATTTTTTAAAATATTCATATACAATCTCTAAAAAACTTGTTTTCTTTCATGCATACCAGTACCAGATTCATTTCTTTATCTTTTAGTATGTAAATGTGAGGATGAAACTTGTTCGTTAAGAAGTTTTTTTTTTGAAGTCACTCAATTATTTTTTATGTAAATTTTCATTATGAGTATGGGAGGAGGAGAAATTTGAACTTACCATCCAAACTTAAAGGATTTTTAGAAAGAAGTAAACTTGAGTGGGGAGTGGAGCACTAAACCCACTAATGATTTTCAATTTCAACACGACAACGTATAATCAGATCAGGAAAAGCTCATTCCTTTTCCTCAATTATTATTTAACTTTAAACCACAATCAACCAATCATCGGACTCCACTTGTCACTTCCCACATCCCAAAACCCTCACACTTGTCTAAAATATTAATATAATATCTACATTCCTAATCTTCATTTTTCATGCCTTACAAATTTAAATCTTTTCGTAACCCTCCATTTACGTATTTGTCAGATTTTGTTTATAAAAATAAAAAGACATGATTAAAGATTTCCTACAGATAATTTAAGGCAGACACATCTCGTCAAATTGTTTTTCCACTGTAGTATATAAATTTTTTAATTAGACTAATTTCGTCTGATGTTTTTATTAAAATATGTATAGCTACAAACAAGTCAGGAGTAATGGTTAAAAATGAGAAAAACAACATTTATCAGTCTCAATGCTTTGATTTTACGCCCCAAATGGGACTCGCCTTTAATGTGAGAAACTGAAAATAAAACGTAAATTATATTATCGTTCTGCTTAAACAATCAATAGTTCTTGGAGGTGAAAGATGAGGGCAGATTTTATGACAACCTAATTAATAAATAGTATGGGGGAAAATTGGGCGTCTAAAAAATATTCCTGATCGTATTGGTGGTACAGCCCTCATCGTTGAAATATGAATTTCTAGACCAAACATTCCACAAAAAACAGTAGTATAAGGAGAATCTAACACCGAACTCGATCAAAAGGGGTGGTTTCAAGAGGGAAGGGGAGCGTTTTACAGCAGAACTAAGTACCCGAATTCTGAGATCTTGGTCAATTACCAAACAAAGAACACGTAAAATCATCGAGCACAGGTTTAAGAAGTTACAGGATTTGAGCAGCCGTATTCAACTTTTCAGCCAAGCTCAGCTGTGTCCTTGTGATACTTGACAAATACAGCAACAGCAAATGGTCCTGTGGGGAACGGTGAAAGTGAAAATAAAGATAAACAGTGAGATGATTTCCATGTATAAATTTTAATTTTAGGTAAACCATAAACAAGTCACCAAGCTCAAATAGTTTAATGTTTAACCAAAATCACAAACTTTATTCGATAGCGTGATATGATATTAAAAAAGCTGATAAAATAATCTTTACCTGCACGTTGTCATTCATCAGCTTATCAAAAGCAGATGGTGACAGTTTTGGAAGAGATGCTACACTGTCGGCTAGAAATCTCCCAATTGTGTTGTCTGGCTCGACATGCCCTTCCTGAGAGAGTTGTAACATAAGGAAATGAAAGGCAATTTGTAACAAAAGAGAAGACCCGAAGGTCACTCACCACAACATTATCAACATATTTGTAAATATCGTCAATTAATGCGAGTAATCTCTCCATTGAAGCTTCCATTCCTTCCAAATCATTTGGCAGTTTATCAACAGAAGTTGTCTTCAGTATATCAACTGTCATCACAAATTCCATCAGCTTTTTGCTACCAGAAGTATGAGAGAACAGGTAAAAATGACTTAAAATAATGTTTCGAAATAGATTACACAGGAATAAGGCACAAAAAAATTGAACAAATTCCGAAAACAATTCAATATACTAATAGCTGCAATGGAGCTTAAGAAAAACTTTTCACAAGCTATGCTCGCTTGATCTAACTCAAGAAACTATAATATGAATCTCAGTTGCAATACATTAATAACTGCAATGGGGCTTAAGAAAAAAGATTCACAAAATATGATCAACGATTGGACTAACTTGGGAAACAATTATATGCATCTCAGTTGCAAATATTAATAACTGCAATGGGGCTTAAGAAAAAAAAATCATATGTGGACACAAATCAGCAAAGCTACAAAAATACAAAAATAGTCATGTTAAAATCCATATCATACCAAGTTATGTTATTCTAACATAAGCTAGGGGTATTCAAAAATTTTAAGATCAAGTTGCTTCAACAAGGCAACATAAACCACTGCCCCACCCAAAACTTTTTGTATGCATTGTGTAAACAAAAAAAGAACAAGGTGTGCGGTAGAGCATGTCTGTGAGACAGAGTACAGCTTTTACCATTCTATTCAATAATGAAAGTAAAACATAAGGCTTAAGTGAATTCGTACATCCAAGTCTCTCAGCTTCAATCATTCGAAGATCCAATGGAATTTCTTGAAACTGAGCAGCAAGTTGTCTATCTCCCAGAGACAAGTTGACAGATACATAGGCTTTTATTGTCCCTTCTCCAGTTCTAAATCCAGTATCAACAGTCAGGTGAATAGGGTTAGCAACTTCTCTAGAATAAAACTCGTGTATCAATGCACTGCCACCCGTAACTCCCATACCAGTTGAGTACCTGTCAGTATTCATGGTGGCATATGATATTATAAGAACATGTGATATGCCACTAAACAATATTTAATACCACAGAAATCTTACATAGATTATGTAGCAACATTAAGAGCAAAAACTCAATTTCAAGCTTACAACCTTGAATTTCTACGAATGTATGGCCTTTAAATTCAACAAACAAAAGTACCAACCAACTTATTTTAACAAGTAACCAATACCATAGGGGAAAATAAGAAATCAACAGAGGACAATGGCCAAATGCGAGCAACACAAGATTCAATTTATTACCACGGCCTAAATTATATCCCTTATTAATGTGCTATCACTTAGAATCTCAAACAAACTGCGGCAATGAACTCAAGTACTTTAACTATAGCTGATGGAGACCAGGAGAATTCAAAGGTTCATCTCCCGGATGATGAAATTTTCAATCTTACAAACTAACTAGAGATCTTTTTATAATCCACTGTTTTTTCTTTCTCTTTTCTCTAAATGCTATTCAGTTTCGTATAAGGGAAAAAAAACTTTAACTATAGCTGATATACTAAAAAAGAAGGATCGTGGCTTTACCATCCAACAATAACTTCCTTTGGATTAACTTTTTGGTGGGAAACCAACATATTGTGATGATAATCAATATCCAACGCAACCTGTGATGTTGAAAAGAATGAATAAGGTGCGAAAGAGTGAAATTGTGCATTTAGAATAAGCGAAATTATTGTAAAACAGTAGAACAATAACCATCACTAGCAAGTCTGGATTTGACAGAGGAGAAACTAGACATCCCTCACGTATTCACTAAAATAATATGCATTCAAATTCAATTAAACAAAGAAGCTACACAAAAACTCAAGGTCCATCTGCAACCATATTTCTAAATTCCCCAATTCCAGCACAAGTTATTAACATACAGATTACAACCTAATCTAGGATACCAAATGGAACAGAAAGAAGACAAGGAACGCAAATTTACAAGGCGGAAAAGAGTATAAGATCAGTTGTCAGTATAACAAATAAGAGCTATGATCCTAATTTATCATATAAAATAAAAATGGAAAAGAAATTCAGTACTGCTCAGTAACCGAAGGCACGGAAAGAGGGGGAAAACGCAAAATACAGGAGTTTGCAAACAATTACATCGAGCAAACACTAGAGATGAGTTCAATACAGAGTAAGGAGGACCTGATCCGAGAACTCATTATGAGGAACAGCATAAGAGTTGCGAATATCGACCGTTCCATCAGGTAAAACCGAGCCAAGGAGAGTACCGATCACTCGTTCAGCCTGGTCCGGCCGCCTCACAAAGCAATCGCAAATGTTGAAGATAACAAGAGGGTGAACCTTCGCAGATAAGGTGGTAGAAGAAGACTGTGAAAATTGCAACACCGTGTTCTCAATCTTCGCCATTGCCTCAACCTTGAATTAGACTAGCTCTGGATGTCGGGGGAGACGACGAAAGCGGATGCTAGGGTTTCCGCAGGAAATTTTTGGAATGAGATATCGAACGGTAATTGGGTTGCCGAATCTATAGTAATGGGCCTACTGGGTTTGTCGAAGCTGGTAAAGAGAAATATATATTATATATTTGAAAACTCTAAACAACCAGCCCGTCTAGCTCAGTTGGTAGAGCGCAAGGCTCTTAACCTTGTGGTCGTGGGTTCGAGCCCCACGGTGGGCGAAATATTTTTTCGTTTAAAAAACGAAAATAATAAACAATATATTTTTCCAAAAACCCTAATATGAGGATCTGAATTTCAAACATAGAAGAATAACATGATGAAATACAATTCTGTGTTTAAAAATGTTTTTACTCACATTTGAGAATTTTTTGATACAACAAAATTCTAAACAATAAAGGTTATTTCATTAAATTAAAAAATCTAACAATGAAATCTAAAATCTCTAAAGAAAATAAAAAAGTATTAATCATAGTGCGCTTCTCCAAATATGACTTAATTTTTTGCATCACTTAAACATGATAGTTCATCTAGTTATCAATATTTAATCAAGTTGTTAGATTGTCGTAACGTATGATTTTTTCACTCCAGTAGATTGCTTCCATTTTAAGCAACTTAAGTTATTTAAATTATTTTTTGAATTTAAATAAGAAAATATAGTAATTTGAACTAGATTTGAAAAGGTAATCAATATATAGATGGTTGAACTTAGACCACACCATTAGTTTTAATAACATTTGTTTATTTGACATCATAAAAGAAAAACAAATCAAATTTAAAGTAAACATGAAACATAATTAACTTTTATTAGGAGTAAAAAATAGTCTTGCTACTGGAGGACAAAGAAAGCTTCTAATATAAGATCTTCCTCAAATAATAAGAGGAATGGTCGACCTTTAAGCTCAATCGCAAATCGTCATCAGTGAACATCAAGTTGAAGCTGTCATCCAACTCAAACCTATGGCACCCGATAGGCCAAATCTTTACCAACATATTTCATGACAGCTAAAAATGCTCAATCAGACACACTTTCTAATCGCCACCCTATGAGTAGGGAGCTTCATTCTGACATCAAGTATCACATTCTAGATCGGTTAAACTTCTTAAGTCGAACTCAAATTGACTTGATCATCAGAGTGTTTGCTTCACTTGTGTAGATATTCCTCATCGAGGGACTCTTAAGCTCGTCTGATCACCTATCTTGGCCTAGTTCCAACCTTGACCAAAAAACTGCACAAACAACTCTCTTCGACTTCGACAGAGTGAATCATTCCTAAGTTCACRCTAAGCACATCATTCATAGCTGTTGGAGCCTCCTCCAACCACACTATGATAATATCTTCATTCGTTCCAAGCTTCATCGTTTCGTGAACAACATGGTTGATATCTCTTCAACTGAATGTGAATTCCATTTCTCTTAATTTCTTTGAAAGATTGAGAAGACAATCATACATGATGTAGATCAATCTTCCTCGTTATATTGAATAAGGGAAAGAATACGCATGGAATCTTATTCAATTATCAGCCGAGTGAAACGCATTTCAATTGTTCTAGCTAAATTGTTTCTAATCATCAATGCTTCAGCATCATCCACTTCAAATTATCATGGATAGGRTTATGAAAACATGATAGACTTCTCCTTTGCTATCTCTTATAAATGTTCTTAATCATACCGTCCTCCTCATTTCACTAATTATTGCATCTATATTTAGTTTCGACTTGCTGCTCGATAGAGGAAGTTAACATATGTGACACGTGGAATCTCGACAAGGTGCATTTACATTATCTATAACCATGGATTTATAACTTACATCAACAAATTGGCTCATACATATAGACCTTGACCCATTCCCAAATCTTCTCCCTTTCTTGGTACTTGGGAAATTATAAATAATCAGACATAATCTTCAATACTCCCCATTTTACTTGTTTCAAATTATATAAAATATATATTATTTATACGTTGTATGTTTCCGACTTTGAATTGCAGCCCGCATCCCATTGCTTATCCGTCAAACCCAACAACTTCATCTTACAATTAAATGTATAATTTAATCCAAAAATGTTTAATTAATAAACTAAGACAAAACAATTTGACATGTAACTGATACAAATTAATATAACATTTTACATTCTTTTTCTTTTAAAAAATAATTAATTTAATTTGCTGTATTTTCGAATCCTGTGGGTCCAGACCTATATGTGGAAATAAATTGCAGAACCAAAGTCAACGTTTGTTCAGACCGGGTCAACCCAAGTCCTACAGCTTCATCCGGGTCCTTCTATCCGACCCGAAAACTCCATGTATATCTCCGAGAAACGTCTTGGCTGCATCTAAACTCGGAAAATAAGTCGATTCCAAAAATATCTGACTCAGTGAGTCGTCCGAGTTGGAACTCACCACGACTCGGTTCCCCTTCGCCTCCAAGCTTCCCATCACGATAACCAGAACTTGCTTGTAGGAAAAGAAGAACCTCTTGATCCCCGCTTCGATCGCTTGCAGAGCTTGAAGCAGATGAATCTTCTCGAACTCTCGCTTCTCGCTGTACAGCTTCATCGCCGCCTCTTGAATCCTAGGGCCGCCCATCGGATCCACCTCCACCTCCAAGATGAACGGTACCTTGTGCTTCAGATCCTTGCATTGCTTCGTAATCTCCACCAGCGTCGTCGATCTGAAGCAAAACGCTTCTGATTCCTGCAGCGATTTGATCGCGAGTTGATTCTTCAGCTTCAGGAAATCGTCCGGATCCATGAGTAGGTGGAGATCCTCGATCTCCTGCAAAAGCTTCCAGATCCGCTCCAACAAATAGCAATCGCTCGCAGCTCTCGCGAAATCCTTCCTCTCGATTCTCTCTGTGATCCGTTTTAGAAGCTCCTGCGCGGCAAAAATCCACGACTCCAGGATCTGATGCGTGGTGTAAACCGTCTGATTCTCGTAATTTTCGATTTGTTGATCATACGGAGTCTTTCTCAGAGAATGAAGCTCGTTGGGCCTGCAAATTAGGTCGTAATCGAGATTCGGCTTCCCGGCCAAATTTGGCTCCCCTAACCCTAACGTGTACGGACACCTCCTCATCTCGCACTCCACGCAGTACAGAATCATCTGCGCGATGTCCTCAGAGCTCTGCCACGACGCAAGCCGCGGAAGCAAACTCGCCTCACTCGTTCTGCTCACAACAGTAGCTTCTCCGCGAACCTTCCACACCTCCGCCGAACTCCCCTCGCGAGTAATCACGCCGTCGGAAGAGCTCAGATCAACGATCGGGATTCTGCCGCGTGCTTCGCCGTCCTCTTCGTCGTCCTCACAAATCATAGCAATGAGCTGAATCTGAGTGGTGGTGAGAGACTCAAGCTTCCTCTTCCACTCCCGCCGGTTCGCGTACGGCCGCGGATCGGACAAAACCGTCGAAATGAACCGGAACGTAATCTCCAGAGCTTGCAACCCGGGCTTCAAAACTGACTCGCTTCTCCATTCAGGAAAGTCCCTGGAACTCCATAGCTTCCTGAGATCGTTGAGGCGAAGGTAGTGCTCGTAGGCAGAACAAGAGGAAGGGGAAGCAGTGGAGAGCTCGGAAGATCGAAACGAAACGGGAAGAGATAGATTGAGCTGCTTGTTGGAGATCAACTTTGGGGATCTAGTGTTCTTGTCGGAGGATACCATGTTGGCCTTCCAACCCAAATCGACCATGTCTGATCCAAGATCGAGATTAGAATTTTGATAAGAAATTTTGGGTATTCTGGAATTTGGTGGATCGGATCCGATTTGCGAGAAGGAGTGGAGGAAGGAGATGGGTATTTATAGGTGGGCAGTATAAATTTGAACGACACAAAGGCGTGTTTGGAATGGTAAGAGCGCGTGGAACAAGAGGAACCAGATTTGAAAACATTTTTAAAATGAAAAGAAAGAAATGGAAAATAGGGAGGGAATTGTCAATTTGAGGTTGAAGCTTATCCAGAATCCCAGCAAACGGGAGAATTTTAAAATGGAAGGAAATTTCGAGGGGGGGATGAAATTGTACTGTTCGTTGTTTGACTGTTTTTCAGTTCAATGTCCCGCGTGGAACTGCAGATGGAAACGTCCCCACCCACTCGCGTCCCGCCACCTGTCGGTTTCCTATTTGCCCTCGCTTTTTATTTTCCTTTAATTTTACGGTTTATTCCACAAATATGCCATTGCGATTGCCTGCCTCCACGTTAATTCCATAGTCGTCGACTCTAAATTTTAATTTTTAAATGTCTTGCTTTGGAATTGAGGCGGCCGCTCCGATTTTCCTTTTTTTCTTACTTCTTATAATTGGAATTAAATAAATCCCTTTCAAATTATTTCTAATTTAAGTTTAGAGAAAACCCCAAACAAATCAAAATACGGAGGGAAGCAAATTTCAAATCCATTTGTGTTTTCTGAGATATTTCTAATTTTTTCTATCTTGATCTCTAAATTACCATAATCCTATTTTAGTTGCTTAAATTTTAGTTTTATGGCATAATCAAATCAACCTTGACTTTTATATATACACATATTTTAGTATAATATAATAAACTTTCAAAAGGTTTATTTTAGTATAATACGTGGGTGGAGATTCAACCTTATGGTACTTTTTTTACAATATGTGGAAGTGAGAATTCGAACTCACGATCTTTTAGTTGAAAATAGGTGCAGATGGTACTGAAAGATTTTCATGTGTTTGGTTGGTGAATGAAAATCATAATTATATTGCTTTCAGATATATATTTGGTAACAAATTTAAAAATTGAATTTCAAGTTAAAAAATTGTTCAAATATATTTAGAAATATATTTGTAAATTAATAGTAGTTACAACTAAATATTTAATTTAATCTAATAATATCAATTAATTTGTTACCATTTTGTTATAAATTTTGTATAATAATTATTATTTTATAATGTTATATAATCTATAATATATTATATTTTAGATGTTTTAATTTTAAAAAGGTAAAATAAGTTTAAAACCTGAAATAATATATTTATTAATGTTTTTATTTTTTTAATATAATAATGTATTTTAAACTGTCAAATTCAATATAAAACATTATTCTCATCATTTTCACTATTTGGATCATATAATTCGAAAATATTTCTCAAATGACAAATCTGTTACAGAATCTAAATTGTCAACCAAACAATGGAATTAAATAAATACATAAAAAAGTAAACATCCAATTGAAAGGTTCTGGAGATAATTGTATAACGTGTGGGTCAAAAGAGAGAAGCCAAAAAGTAAAACATGACTAAGTCTGCTGATGAGATTTTTCTATTATTTTTAATTTTTTTAATTATTATTTTAGAAATTAGTGTGTATATTTCTAAGGAATGGATGTGGCCAAGGAGTAAGAAGGCATCCGAAGCACATCTTAGAATTGAAATTGGTTGGTCAATTCAATTTCCATCAAATTTTAAATTATTTTAGAATATAATATATCCTCTACTTCGATAAGGTTCCTTTGCTTCGCCGGACTGACTTGTGTTGTGTTTTCTTGTGCTCACCCAAAAAGCCATAATTTTTTTTACCCTTCTTTTTCTTATCTTATCTCTATAATCCAAGCTTTCACTTTTTTTTTTTTTTGGGAGATAAAAGATATACACGTCAATGTACGATTTCGTAAAAATGACTTGACTTGACTTAACTTAACTTATCTATCAAGAATAAAGTTTATTTGACAGACAAATTTAGATTATGTTTGTTGTTTTCAGATTCACCTAGATTTTTTAAATGAAGATAGACATGAAAAACAATTCTATTTTTTATTGAGGTTTTTTGCAAATTTTTAACGAACCTCTGACTATTGGAGAAGAGAATTTGATTTTAAAATCTAATATTCCCAAGTTGTGAGGCTCTTTTTTCCTAGTTTGCCGGAATACCTAATGCACAACCCAACAGTCATGCTTTTTTTTTTTTGGAAGTCTTTTCAAAACAACTTCCCTTTTACAGATGGATGGAAATTAAAAGCATCCATTTTGAAGATATGGATAGGATCAAGTAAGTTTGCATTATCCTCAACGGACTTGACTTTTATATTTTACAAATAATAAATATTAAATAATTAGAAACGTTAGTAAACATGCTAATTAATTTTCTAGAGTAAATAACAAAATTATCAAAAGAACTTCTCTGTTTTTCATTCTTTTTGTTTCTTTTTTAATATTAGTTGAATTCTCAAGGTTTTGGAATATACCTTTGTTGGATTTTCAAAATTTATCTAGAAAATGTTATCACTTGTTAGCAAACTTTGATTTTGATTTGATCCATTACTTGAAATTAAAATGGAATCTATATCTGCAACATCTGTTAAATTCCCTCTAAGAAGTAGCCAAATTAGATGGTGGACTCTATTAGTCTTAATCACAACAGAAAAAGCAGCCACATGATTGAGAATTTCATACCAATTCCTACACTGTTATCCACAGTTTGCCAGTTAAGGCAGGAAAAAAAAAACCCCCTCTTTCAATTATTTTCTTGTTAAACAAAAATTCCTCTTGATAGAAAGGACTTTTAACACAAGCCCCAATATAAATCTCATGTTTAATGGGATGAAAGAAGAAAATGAGATATATAATGCATAATGCATAATCCCACTGGAATTCCGATGGCATAATATTGCATTGACTTAGATACCTATAAATAAGTCTTTTCGATATTGTATATTAATGAAATGTAATAAAAATACAAGCAGTCTATATTCTAAGTTAAAGAAAAATACAATACGAAACTGTAACCCCAAAGATAGAAATAAACATTAATGAAAAAACTGAGTTAAAAATAAACATGAAAGTTAATGAAATCAAAACGAGGTCCAACAAGGAAAAGGTATAATAATATGTCATAGTTAATAGTCAACATAAACCTAACTTCAACGATTGGATGTTAATATTTTTACAAAGTTTATTTCACTTTGGTTGGGTTTATGATTTTGAATAATAGAATGTCGTTGTATCGAAGATAAAGTAATATTTAATTTTAAAAAGTGTATTTTAAAGTGGGAAAAAAGGTACAAATGTTCTCAAACATATCCAATATTGAAAGATGCAAATGGTTTGGAGGAGGAAGTGAAAGAATGGATGATGGGTTCCCACTGAAATGGATAAGCTTTTTTCTCTTCCCATTTTGTCCCCTTCACATTCTCCTATTTAAAAAATAATAATATTATTACTAAAAATTCAAAAAATAAAAATAAAAAAAACCGTTCCAAAACGACGTGCCTTTTTGCGTCTCCATCATCCGCGTTTACCGCTACCTATAATAAACCGGCATCCATTTCACCGCCCACAACACCACGTGTCGCATAACTACTCGCCGTGGCTGCTGACTGGGATACCAGGCGCTCCTTTTATTGGTGTCTGACTCGGACCGGAGATAGGCACTTTTTATTTCTGCCGCCAACTAAGTAATCACGTTCAGAAATCACGCATGTTATGTTTCCGACACGTGGCATGGCGATCACGTGCTCCGCCCACTGATAGTGAAGCCCAGCTGTCGGGTCACACGCGGACACATCAGGCGGCAGCGGCGGTGCCTAACCAGCCACGCGATCCTTCCACGTGGCTGTACAGTTGGATTTATAATGGTATGTTGGCTTACACGTCTGGATATCCAACCAATCAAATTTAATATTGAACCCTGACCTGACCGCCTTTCCTTCGCGTCTACTATTAATTATTTGATTAATTTTCTTTAATTTCCGTAATAATAGCTCACCAACTCATCCCATAAAAGCCTCATTAATCCAAAACAACTATCTAATCACGGACAACCAATCGCATTTCTAGATACTAATCTTTTTTATTATAATAATTTTAATAATGATATATCCTTTCCCCTTGATGACATTGTTTTTTTCGTGGAACCCTGCCTTCGAACGTTTTATTATCATGAATAAAGTAAAGTATTTTATTTAATTTATAAACTTCAAAAGATTTCCATTGCGTCACTTAATTTTAAAACTGTGCTTTTGTGTAATTATTTTTAGTTTAGGAATGGAGATGATCAAGCTTTCGAATTTACAGAAAAAAAAATATATTTTTTAACTATCGAGTTATAATCCACTTGACTTTAGATTTCTAGTCTGTGTTGTTACCATCATTAAAAAATGATGACACAATAAGCATGTTACGAGATGTGCCATAATTTAGCCATCAAAATGAAAATCTAATATGTTGTTTTGAAAAATAAGATAGGTTATATGTACCACTTTGATTTCCATTAACTTTCAAAATTGAAATATATAATTGAAACTTTTTGAATTTTGATAACTCTATAAACACAATCACAAAATTAAAAAAACAAATTTGATGATATAATTCGATTATCAATATTTATGGAAGTCTATCTCAGAATTAATTGGCAACGAGAAGAGTAGTCTATCTATATTGTGAAGTCTTTGAAATTTTCAACATAGATAAATATTATATTTATAAAAAAAAATAAAAGTTTACCACATTTAGAAAAATAAAAGATACCCAAACAAAACTGCTTTTGCTTTTAATGTCACAAATCCTTTTTTATTTTTTTATTTTCATAAGCACGTTTATATTATAATGTTTTAAATTTATTTGGTGCGTATATTATTTTGGGAAAAAGTAGAGAAATAAATGTTGTAAAGGGTTGTGGAACATGCGGCGTGTAGTTTTGTTGACTTTAGAAAACGGGTGGGGATTGCACCGAACTTCGGTGACACCGAAGCACATCTTGCGCCCGAAAATGGGGCATTAATCAACGCATACTAATCAATTTTTTTCTTTTTAATTTTCCATTATCAACTTGATTTTTCTTTTTTCTTTTTCTTTTTCTTTTTCTGTGGGCTTTATTTTATTTTATTTTAGTTTTCATTTTTAATGTTTAAGTGGAATTTGTGATTTACGTGTATGTCACTTGCCCTTTTTTCGTTCACGATGGGAAATGAGAGAGGAAAAAAAAACATCTTTTAGAAAATCATCTTAGAACAGTAACTAACCGGTGAAACTAACGGTGAGATAAAAATTAGCTAATTAATTAATTTATAAAATCAAGTTTTTCTTGATATAACAACCAAAGGGTGAATATTCAAATTCACCCCTTATTAGGTTGTCTTTACCG